CACACGAACACACTGCTGAACAATTTTGCCACAAAATGAGCACCTGCTCACCCATTTACCTTAAAAGTGGTGGCCCTGCTCGTGTAGATGCATGCGGTAGGACCAGCACCACACGCTGAGAAAATTAGGCCTCCTCTGTGCTAAAATCCACTCGGTACGGCTCGGGTAGCACTCTGACAAGCACAATATATTCCTAAAACGGTATTATCATAATCATCATCACCATCATCATCCTGCCATTCCACTCAAATGACGGTGCTGTCCGCGCGGTTTCCTGGCACCGCCTGATTGCGCGACAGTACTGTGACTAATTCTAGATTTGAAGTTTTCGTGACTGCAAGGATCCATACTCTTTGGTTTTTTCGGTAAAGTCACGTAGGTTAAAAAAGCAAACAAATAAATTAAATCACGACGTTGTGTTGCCTCCGAAACGTCGTGATTTAATTTATTCGTTTGCTTTTTTAACCTACGTGACTTACCGAAAAAAACAAAGAGTATAGTCCTGTGACTGCTGGGGCTCGGATGCAAGACGAGTCCATCTACTGTTTGATTTTGTTTGATGTGTTAATGCCAATTATATTACAAATGCACTTCTATTGGCATAGTTCATCAGATGATGCAATATTCATTCAAAAAAAGCAGCAGTGAGCGGTGTATCAGAAAACGATCCCGGAAGATGACATTGTAAAACTACAATACTTGTGGAAATTCACTCACCCAGCGCTTCGATGAACCGCCGTAATGCAGGATCGCAATGCGATTCAAGATTTGTTTTGATGGCAGCAGGGGTGAAGCGGTCCCATTACATACAGCGTATTTACGAATCGAAATATATTCTTACACATGAGATTCGATGGTCACCGAGCTTAAGACTCGAGGCGATCCGATCTAATTACCAATCTAATTATGAAGTCACTTAAAATAGTCTCTATCCACACGAGGAATCATATTTTCTATTCCCGGCAAAAGTGTGAGTTCATCACATGTCAATCAAAATTTATTCTTTCAGCTCTAATATCTGGAACGTGCCAAATTAAATAAAGATGCATATGAAATGAAATGGGTGTTTAAAAAAAAAGTGATTGTTTACTGAGCAGAGACCATTAACTCGCTATAACGGAGAACGGCATTTAATCATGGGTGGCTGAAACCCAGATTCGAACCCAGAATCTCAGCAGTGCGAGGTCCGGTGCTAGAACGTGTCTATGATGAGCCGCCTGGCATTCGCAGTTGTGGGGATTTTCGTTTTGTTTTTTTCCCCCCCGAGCAAGGCTCTGGCGTTAAGCTTCGGCAGCGATGCCTCCATGCGAAAAAATAAATAGCACACAGAATGGGTTCATGACCCATCTGTGCGGACCTTTGAATGTTATCCTGCCGTATGGATTTGTTTTCTCCGGGTATTAAGGTTTCCTCTCACGTGAAAAATAATCTCATAAAAAATGTCAGCCAAAACATCCCAAGGCAGCACCCTCTCTTCAGGTTTGGTGATGAAATGGCACATCGTGAAAAGAAACACATGACTTGGTGTGGTTAAGGTTTTTAGCGTCATGAGTTGGAGACTGAACAGATGTACAGCTTTAAAGCATTTTGCGATCGAGTAAGATACAAAATTAAGGGTCTGCTTTGCCATGCGTGTAGAAGCACTTTAAACCTTCAGCTCTCATGCTGCCTTCTCACAGAACAAAAGAAATAGCAGACTGCTTTGGCCAGGTGGCTCAGAGCAGCAGAGCGGTTGGGGGTTGAATCAGCCCCGTCCCACCAGGATTGATTAAAGGAATACCAATTTGTGGTGAAGTAAAGAGTGGTTGTCCTACGATTGGACCTGCCCACCAACAAAAGTAATGTAGAATTCCCACCACTGGCTAAGGGTTGTAAACAGGAGGTGAATACCGCCTTTGACCTTGGGTAATAGTCACTCTTCAGAGCCATTACATACAACGTTAACCTGCTATACCGTATGCTTCTGCTCAAAGACCGCAGTAACGTTGACTTGTACTTGCGTGTGTGTGTTTGTGTATTTTAGCTGACATTGGGCACTGCCCTTTGGTGAAGCAATCGTTCATTCTCGTCACGTCGGGGTGTTTTTTTTCTTTCGCCATTCACCGTCCGTGCAATACGACCCGAACGTTAAAAACAACACCGAGATGATCGTGCAAAAACGCAAAAGGAAAAATCCCTGAATGTAAAAAGCATCCTCTTCCCACTCATACATAATCTAAGCACCACCACCACCAGCCCCTCACCCCCCCACCCACCAGCCGGCGGCCCACGCCCACTGCTGCTGCCGTTCACAGCCTCGCCCTGTCCTTTCCTTCCCGTACACCCCCCCCCATCGCACCGCTCATTCACAATCACCCGGCCCCGTCTCACCCAACGCCGCCAAAGGTCCCACAGGCACTGACCGCTGAGGGTTTAAGAAGACGTTTTTTAAATAAATAAAAAAGCACACAGCGAGGCGCTTGACCTCCCCACGATCTTGAGAGGCCAACGGAGGAACTCGGTCAGAGTTTTGTTTGTTAAAAACAAACATAAAAACATATAGGCGTATAACAATTCCTTGAAAATCAATTATCGCGCCGTGTTGCTGCGCACTGGATTGCGCGTCTAAGAATCGACTCGTCGTTCCAAGGCAAGACGAAACAAGCGAGGCAGGATAAACGAGGCAGACAACACAAACGAGACAGACGATACAGCCACTGGAGATTGCGAAGAGAGATTTTAAAGAATGCATATTATTTCTACATTTACCACAAGGGGAAACCAATGAATGAATCGATTCGCAAATTGAATGACTACGATTCGTAACGTTTAACCGTAGTGGGTAAATCACTACATGCCTAGAAAACAAAGTGTCCCAATATCCAAAAACCCAAAATTCAAACATCAAAGTATCTCCCTGCTAGAGTTAACGCTCCGATTCAATGGCGGTCCTAATCCAGTGATGGACATTCCACATTCCCATGAAAGGATCCAATCTCACCATAATGAAACACTGTTCATCTCAAGTGTTCTCACAAAGTTGTACCTATTTTCCCGACCTCAAAGGTGATGATTATGATGATGCTGATAGGCAGAGTTAACCCCAAACGAGGGATGTGAACTCACAAATGTCCTCTTGTGAGTGGAGCGAGCTCACCACAGCGCCACCTATAGTCTACGGAGAGCCACGATGTGGTGCAACACTCACTGAGAATTTCAAATAGAAGTCTCTTTGTTACGATTTGAAATGCTGCTTGGAGGCTAAGGCCATCATCACACAACTAGGTTCGACAAAATGTCCCACTTTGTGGACATTTGTTTTTATGGACACTTCCCCCCCCCCAACTGTTGTGCATGCAATTACTCTGCTGCCATCACCATTCGCAAACCCCGATTACAAATGTAATCTAATTTTGAATTATTTTGCGCAGCAGCACCCGTCAACGGGGTAGAGGAAGCGCAAGTGAAGGTTATTTTAAGTTGCCTCATCGAATTGTCACAGCCTCTGTGCTGCGGCAATCCATCTCATTCCTGCACACGAGCCGATGTCATTTGCTCACCATCTTTGCAGTAACAATTCACCCAAGGTGGGTTAACCCCTCCTCTGGCTGCCACTTCGTCAATGGGAGGTCATCTACCGGCCATCATCTCTTCGAAGTGACACGTGTTCATTACCGTACTGCGCTGGACAGAATTGTTGAACTAGAACTTTGGGCCCAAAATTTCGAATTGGCCACACACCCTGCTCATGTGACAGTCCGGGCTTTTACGCGTAAACAAACCCTGATAGAAAACATCGGTCCAGAAGAACCGTTAGGACATACATGTAAAATGTTTCTATGATAAAAGCATCTCTCCTGAATACTGATAACACACTCTTACACGTTCTTAACGAGACGTGACGCCGTTAAGGTTTAATCACTTTGCTTATTCACTTTTTAAGAAAAATGGTTGATATCTAAATATTATGCACGCTAAATGTGTACTTAAAACTTTCGTGACTTCAGGAATTAATATTCTTTGGTTCTTTCGGTAAAGTCACGTAGATAGAAAAATTATAATCAAAATAAAGTTTATAAAAAACTAATGTAGACTGTAGCCTGGTTCTTAATCGGAGTGAGTGTACTGGCAATCTATAATGTAGAATGTAGCCTGGTTATTAAGCTGGGCTGAGTGTACTGGCAGTCTATAATGTAGACTGTAGCCTGGTTATTAAGCTGGGTGAGTGTGCTGGCAGTCTATAATGTACACTGTAGCCTGGTTATTAAGCTGGGTGAGTGTACTGGCAGTCTATAATGTAGACTATAGGTAAGCTGGGTGAGTGTACTGGCAGTCTATAATGTAGACTGTAGCCTGGTTATTAAGATGGGTGAGTATACTGGCAGTCTATGATGTAGACTGTAGACTGCCAGTACACTCACCGTTGTAAATCTACTGATGGATGAGGGCTCCCCCACCTCGCGTTGCGTGGATCGTGGGAGCCACCATGCACGTTGGTAACATAGATAAACTGTAGTACTGCACAACAATCGACTTTGTTGCACTGCCCTCTGCTGCCCCACAGCGTAACCCCTCAAAGTCGCCTCGTTTACCGTCATGTTCATTTACAGTTTTTGTTTACTGCAAGCTATTACTGCTGGTTCAACCTGCGTTACTGATTTAACTTTACCGATTCGAGTCTATTGTCGTTTAGAGAGTTCACTTTTTGTCACGGAACTTTCACTTTCGTGCTCCGGCCCGTCCCCAGACGTCAACGACGTGGCCGCAAAGCTCATCACTCATCGCGATGCTGTCGACACACGGATTCGTTTCCAAGTCGATTACACCTCAATATCTTCTTGATTGTTGTAAAACCCGCATTGCGAGTTTGCGCCCTCGCGACCAGCGCGCCTGTGTTTGTATCGTCGTAATGTCGCGTCGTGTGGTGCTCTCTCGCGACCCACGACTGTGCGTCGTTCTGCTGCTTGTAATGATTTACTTCTATGGTTTAACTGCTGCTGCTGCTACCGTCACCCACCGACCTTTCTCTTCCTCGGCTCCTCCTCATGATCCATGTCCTCAGTATCGCGCCGCTCCTCCGCCTCGCTCCTCACGTCCCGACTCCCCACGCGCCGTCGCGCTCATTATAACTCACGACGAATTCGCCCTGCTATTGCTGCTACTCTCGTTTACACCCCTCAACCACCCCGGGTAGAGTGATTGTTGTTGTTGATGTTGTTGTTGTTTACGGTGGAGGCGCTCACTTCTCTCTCTACCCTTTCAAAATGAGCCGGCCGCCATGTTGGGCGTGTCGTTCCCACAATCCCCAGCTGCCGCCGGAAGCAGCTGATTACTACTTCCGGCGGCAGCTTCCGGCGGGGTGACGTCACAGTCGCGCCGCCGCCGCCTCTGGTCTTGCCCTTGCCGGGTGTCACGTGACGCGTGCGTGTGGTGGGAGTGGGGGGAAGCCACGTGGGTTTTTTTAAATATTATTGGATTTTTTCGGTAAAGTCACGTAGAAGGGAAAGAATAAAATAATGATGAAACATAATTAAAAAAACGTGGGTTCTGTTGAACCGGGCTAGAACTCAAAGGGGGCGGGGGGCAGGGACAGGTTAGAGTCTTAATTTGCAAGAAGTGACCTGGGTCACCACAATGGCTACAGCCTCACTTGATACAGCAAATCTGGCTGTGACGGTCCCACCTGATGACGGATACTTGTGTTGCCTCCGAAACGTCGTGAATTTCATTATTTTATTTTATTAATTTTAATTTCATTTTTTACCTACGTGACTTTACCGAAAAAACTAAGCGTATGAATCCTTGCAGTCACGAAAGCTTCAAATCTAGAATTGGCTACAGTAAAACAAAACAAAATACATGGGTGGAGTGTTTTCTTGATCGCTCTGATTTCCAGGCTTTCAGGTGGACTTGTTCATCTGCTTTCCAATATCACCGACCTCGCTGCTATTTTGCGCCTAATACTTTTTGGATATGATGAGATCAACTAGCCTTGTATTATTGTACCCGTTGTACTATGTTGATGCAATCCTTGCCGTAAAATTGTTTTTGGATTGTTTATGTGTTTAATTTTTTTGCTGTAACCAGCTTTATTACCCAATGTGTTTTACCTGTGCCTAAATAAACCAAAGCAAACATTCTCACGTGTCCTGCCGAAGATGATATGTTTGTAACAGGACACAACCAATCCTGAGACCGGGCTGAAACCATCAACTCACCGCACACGATAGCCCTGTTTCATTAACTTCACAGAGCCTCAACTTCGAAATAAGTATCTCAAAGTTTTGCCAGCTCAGTGTCTCCGACACGGCCATTATAAGCAACCCCGCGAAACCTCAATTATGGTCACTTTCGATGGATAAGTGATGGACGTGTTACGAGAAAGGATGACGGGGTGTTCGAGATTAACGACGGAGTAGCAGCCAAAGGTGGGAGTTCACCCTAAATATAGTGAGGAAACGGCGCTTCCTTTTTCGAATGGCCTGTGACGGGCGCATCTTAAGAGGGTGCAGCTGTAAGTGTGGGAGATGCGGTACGGAGCCGGCTTGTGTGCTGCGGGTGCTGCTTGCTTGGGGAGGCCTTCATCCAAGCAGTGGATGAGGCTGATGATGCTGCTGATGAAGATGTCGACCTTCTTTCGCACCATACGTAGCCAACCGTGCTCATCAGAAGTTTGAAAGAGACGCTCTCGCATGTTTGCGAGATAATTAAAAGAGCAAAACGGAAAATATACGTCGAACAAATCCAAGTTGACACAGCTTTTGGGTTTCATACACTTTAATATGGGTAAACAAAACGTATAAACGATTGTAATCATTTACAGTATAAAAAATCTTCTTTCACACAAAAAAGTTCAAGCATCGAGAACGTAAACGGCAACGTGTGCTCTCAGACGTTTAAAACCAGGAAGTCTTCACAACCTTGACAATATGCCATCGCATAGAGCGTCTAAGCCACGTGGTGGCGGTGGCGGAAAGGCAGTCTCCGGCAAAATTCGGCGGAAAATCGTCCGTAACCTCCGCTCTCAGTCCGTGTTGCAAGGGCGGTTTACGCTGCACGATTGCCCTCGGGTGTTGTTGCTTTTTTTAGTTTGTTATCCCGGTTTGTACCGCGAGTGATGTTTGTTCGGCATGACGTCAGAACGTTCCGCGTCGCACGTGCCAGGTAGGAGGCTTTTTTTTGCCAAGAATTGAATCTACACTATGGGGACCTCATTTGCCAGTAAAAATATGATAATTGGTTCTTTACCCTTCTATCTGGCAACAAAAAAAGGTGTCAGTTTTGTTGCCAGATAGAAGGGTAAAGAACCAATTATCAAGAATTGAATCGTTTCTGAACGGAAGAGAATTGTTTGGGGGGCAGCTCCCCAGCCAGCACGTCGAGGCGAAACGCTCGATCGTGACTCTCAACGACACGCGCGGTTCAACCCGAAAACACCGGAGGGTCGGTTGGTCGGGCGAGGTTTTCCGTTTAAAATTGGCGGACATTCGCTTTTCGCCAGCACCTGACTCAGGCACTCTATGTACAGAATATAATAATAATTATTATTGTTGTTGTTGTTTGTTAAATCTATGCATTGTTAGAGGAGACATAGGGACGGTCACATACGCGTTCCGCCAACTCAGAGTGTGAGTTCAACTGCACCAGGCGCGGTCACACTCATTTCAGATGAATGATCTCATTTACGGAATTAATTAAGCACAGACGTATTGTTTTGATTTCAGTTGTGTCGGTTTTTTATCCCCAGATCGGTTTTGTTTAACGTCTAGCGACAAGACGAGTCTCATTTTTTTTTTCAAAAACACAGGCTAACGTATTTCAGTCGTAAGTAGTCGTGTGGTTTCAAATATAAATGATAAGAATCCAAAGAAAACATAGATAGGTATAGAATTTGTCTTTGAAATATCACGACTCCGCGGCATAGCCGAGATAACCACCGCACTGAGCTCACAAATCAGAATAAAAATTCCGTCCAGGAGTCCACTCAGCCAATATCATCGTCGTCGTCGTAATTTATTTGGGGCTGATAAAAGCGACATCACTTTGTGGGAAGTCAAAGAGTATGTGTCTCGTTATTAAGAGACTTACCCACCACGAGAATGTGATGAGTATGTGTGCAGTTTTACGCTCTATCAGTCTTCATGACCATCGGACACATGTGGACTTTCGACTGTTAAAGAATCGATTAATCGATTGGTTTTCCAATTATCTCACATGTGCTGGTCATGGCTGTGTGAGATCAAATACATCACCAATATTCCTTATGTCAGAGCTAGGTAACTTCATCCGAAGAAGGGCCGAATAGGTCTTTCGAATAACTTTAGTAAGACGCACACCTCAGTTACTTCTGCGACTGCAAGAGGTCCATTTCAGTGACATCAAGTGACTGAGCGCCCTCATATTAGCAACGGAAGTGTTCGGCGCTTTGAGTCGTTGACTATCCCCCTCCAGCACTTGATCGATGCGGCCAAGATGCTCGCGGGCGACGGATGGGATGGACACGACGTCGCGGGTGTCCGTTCGCGAACGAAGTCGCGTGTCGCGCCCGAAAAATACGGCAATCCGTTCGTTGTCGGTCGCATTTGAACGCGTGGAGCCGGATTCATCACACATTTCAACAACAACAAAAAAAGAAACGCACGAACTCACAGCGAGAAACTCGCGATCGGAGATGTCGGCGCGCTTTTTGCCAAGAACCCAACGGAGGAGGATATATTCTCCAACAAACACGTGATTCTGCCACCACCCCCCCCCCTACTACCCCCGCCATTTATTTCAACGCATTCGTGAATAACACTGCCATAAAAGGCGATAAATGTACGCGTGTGTATAATAGGCGACGTTTCAGGCAATGAGGGGCCGTTGCCCCCAAAACTTCGACTGTCGTATATTTCCCCTTTAAGGCCGCAGTGTTATTGTCGAATGCGTTTGAGTGAGTTGTTGCGAACCGTGCTTGTGCGCCACTACCAACGCAACAGCAGCAGCATCATCACCAAATTATTCGTTCCTTTTAACCATTCAAGCCGATTATTCAAGTCTCGGTATATTACGCGATGTTTTTATCTCATGTATTTATTTGTGCAGTGTGTAGCACACAAACACGTGTTGCCCACGTCCCATATGCATCCCCAGTGCTCCTTCCATCATGGCTAAGTTGTGGGCAGCAGAGGGCAGTGCAGCGAAATCAATTGTTGTACTCTACACGTCTATGCCCCCCCGCCGCCGCCGCCGCCTTCACCAACCCGCGCTGCCCCGAGTTCGGGACATGAATGATCAAACAAAGCGGACGGCTTGGGTGGGATTTCATCGCCCGCAGCAGTGGATGGGGCAGTTGGCCCTGTACCACGTGGAGTCGAGCTCGAGTCGTAGGTTCGAGTGAAAGTTCAGATTTAACAGTCCGGTGTTGTACATTTTTTTCTCCATATTAAATATACTTGACCCTGTTGCTGTAAACTTACCCTAGGTACACCGAGAGATGCGGTACACATTACTTTATACTGATGTCTAGGACTGTGTGCTGCTTGTAAGAGGTGGAGCTGTGGCGCAGTGGTTAGCCCGCTGAGTTCTTTTCTCGGCCACCCACTTCACCAACCCGCACTGACCAGCGTGGTGAAGTATGGTCATGCAACGACCTGCATGGCCGGCACGGCGTGGAGAGTCCTTCTTCATGCGGTGGATGACACGTGGCTGCAATGTTTTTTTGTTAAACCGGGCGCCCGGCACAAGCACAAACCGATGAAAGTTACATTACAGTTGAGCGTCTTCATTTTGAGGACAAATAATTCATCATCAGCATCATCAGCATCATCGTCATCGTTTCTGCAGGGTGGATAAAATCAGCACCACTTATTGAGGCTGTACCCGCCGCCTGTTCGGGAGTCATTGGCGACTGCCCCGTTCAGGAGGGATGAAATGGACAACCGCGTGTGCATGTGGAATTTCCACAAAATTCAATCGAATTGTACAGACGAAAATAAATCACGATGACAAACAAACAGAAAACACGCCGTCACAACCGTCCCGCGATTCCCATCATCATCATCATCGAGGAGGAGGAGGGCGAATAAAACGAGCACCACTTTGGGAGGCTGCACACCAACCAAACCACAACGCCATGGGGGAGCATGGGGCAGCCCCAGCTGGACTACGTTGTTGCTGTACCACGATCCCGCTGGATATCTGCGAAAAAGAGCTTTGCAAAGCTCATCATATTCCTCCAGACACGCGTGCAAGACGTGCGCGCGCGCGCGTGCGTGCGTGTGTCTCGGTGCATCGTCTATGTTATATTTCCTTTAAGTAAC